AGGTTTGCTTACAAGCCACCTCCAACAGCCAGACTTTCCGAACTCACTCACCTGGGTCCTAGTTGGTCATCAGCACCTGTGTTTGACCTTGGTAAAGGTTCTCACTCTCAGGAGTCTCCCTGGTGGCTGTCTTGCCAGCCCTCTGGGAAGGGGAACACCTCTCTCCTCTGAGGCACCCCAAGACCTTTAGAAGGGTTCTACTCTACCTGTTTGTTCTGTGAGTATCAGGAAGAGGTAAAGGGGAAGAGGCCAGGGACTCTCTTCTTGGTGAGAGAAAGGATAAGTTTGCAGTAACCACCCTCCCATCTGCCCCATACTTGGCTATATGGTCCTCAGTTTCCCTGAAGGTCACCCAGCAAAGCCCAGGGCCAGAGGAGGCTGTAGGGGATGGAGGTGGAGGGGCTGGAACTCAGTCCATTTTAGGAGCCAGGCCGTTCTCCTCCCCTGCCCCAGCCTGGACTCTCTTCTGGCTTCCTTTTCCTTTTCGCCTCCTTCCTGGGAATAGTATTCTCTTACATTTATGCTGTAGATTTGAATTTACAAAGCACTTTTACCTTGGGCTCTAATTGGGTCGTCCTAACAGTTCTATGAGGATGGAATTATTATCCTGACTTTTATAGATAGAAAACAGGAGCCTAAGTGTATGTCCAAGAGAAAGATGACTTCACATAAACAACACATGACATAAAAACAAGATGGGGTGGGGGCGGGGGTGCGTGCAAGCCAGCATTTCTTGGGCATTCACGTAGGAGAAATGAGAAATCCCATCTCCAGCTCCTGGGGCAGTGGATTAGTGCTCCTCAGCCTCCAAGTGTTTTGAGAAGCAAGCCCGGGAAGGACATCTCTCAGTCTGGAAAAAGTGGCACCACCCACGGCTCCTGAGTCCAGGGCCTGCTGCCAGTAGGATCAGGGCCTGAATCCTTAGGAAGCACATGAGGTAATGAAAAATCTCAGCTCAGGAAAATCTCGGGGCTCAAGGACACACAGCACCCCATCTCCACCCCACCTTCTCACGTCCATGTCTGCGTCCTTCTGGCCGGGAGGGAAGCAGACAGACACGAGGTGGCCACGGCTCAGCTCCACCCTCTGCCCGTCTAGATCTCTCAGCTTTCTCCTTCCTCCTCACCTGCCCCTCCCCTCTCCCCCACTCGAGACACCAGCTCAATTTTGCCTCTCCTCTCTCTCAAGGTCATCTTGGCCCAGCCAGCATCACAGTCTCCAGCAGCTGCCTTCTCTGTCTTCTAGGCCTCCCTCTGTGGTCACCGACAGCATGCACGAAGGTCTCCGCATAGAGGGAGGACGGCTGCTTTTTTCCCCCAGGCCTCCATGGTTCCCTTCTCCCCTTGGGGTGACAAAGGGGCGAAGGTCCCACCTCCCTTCTGCCTCAATGCAATAAAATTCCCCATAGTAAGGCCTCCTTCTCCTCTTTAGCCCAGACTGCCCAGCCCTCCAGATACAGCCAAACCTATGGCTGCAACACACATGTGCACACCCAGAACTACACATACAGGATGCCTGCCCTCCCCTCTGCCTCCTTTCCCTGTGTTCCCCTCCTGTGCCCAGAGATCAGAACACATAGCTCTTAGCTTCCCCCAGCATGATTCAGACAAAGGAGGGAGTGGAAGTGTGTCACACTACAGCATCTGCAAAGGAACTGTGGTGCACGGGACTGAGCACTGGAATGAGAGTCTGAAGACCTGAGTTTGACCATCCCTGCCCTGAACGTCCTGTGCAACCTACAGCAAATCCCACCAGCACTTTACCCTATCCTGGCCCTTGGGAGCTCCCTCAGCCCAATTCTGTTCCTCAAAGCATATCCAAGACCATTAGATTTCTGGTCTAAGAATAAAGACCAAACCCTTGACAACTGTTCCCAGTGGCACAGACCAACAATGGCAAAGAGAAATCAAATAGGAAAGGAAAGCGAAAGGAAGGGAGTACAGAATGAATCTGGTCTCCTAACTTGAGGTTTCTGATCCCAAATCAACTGCACCCTGGCCTTGAAGCTGGCTTAGCTGAGGGCCTCCTCAACATCCTCTGGTTCATGAAGAAAAAACAAACAATCCATCTGGACCTATCTTGACCCCAAAGATAAGAACTCTGGAATGTACATTGCCCATAAGCAAGGGCCCTTCCCAAGGATCATCAATGTGTACTCCTTCCCCGAGAGGGGTCCCCTGATTCCAGGACAGGCTCCTACAAGCGTGGTAGCTCCTCTCCTAGGGATCTAAGAAAGCCCTCCAGCAGTCATGTCCTGAGAGACATGACAGGTTTTAACCTTTTTTTTTTTTATTTGAGACAGAGTCTCACTATGTTGCCTTTGGTAGAGCACTGTGGTGTCACAGCTCACAGCAACCTCAAACTCTTGGGCTTAAGCAATTCTCTTGCCTCAGCTTCCCAAGTAGCTGGGACTACAGGCACCCACCATAACGCCCAGCTATTTTTTGTTGTTGTAGTTGTCATTGTTGTTTGGCAGGCTCGAGCTGGGTTCAGATCTGCCAGCCCCAGTGTATGGGGCTGGTGCACCAAGCCATCAGGTTTTAACATCAGAGTAATGGGACTCTGCCCTTAGGGGAATAGTGGGTGAGGAGCAAGGGGATGTGGGAAGTGGAGTGGGCAGAGAAGGTGGAGCCACTGCCAGTGCTCTAGGGCAAGGGTCCTCAAACTTTTTAAACAGAGGGCCAGTTCACTGTCCCGCAGACCGTTGGAGGGCCAAACTGCAGGCCCCAGGACGAGTCAGCTGCTAAGCAGGACAGGCAGTGGCAGCAAAAAAACCCGGCGGGCTGGATAAATGTCCCAGGCAGGCTGCATGTGGCCCACGGACCATAGTTTGAGGATGCCTGCTCTAGGTCCTTGGGTCCTGAAAAATCCTGATACTAGCCTAGAAAGATGCAAACAGCTCCCATGCTGGGAACGGTCTGCAAAATAGGAAGATATTAAGCAGTTACCCAGATGTTTGGAGCTAAAAGCACCCTGCAGAGAAGAAAAAACAATGTAGTCTTTCAGGACTCAAGTCTTCCCAATCAGCTGTATACTTGGGTATGCAGTAACCTTGTCAATGTAAATGTGCCCCTTTGCAGGAGTCAGTCTGCAAATAAGGTGTTTTTTAAAGTCAGCAGGTCAGGACATCATCCCTGTAGAGATTATAGGAAATAGAGAAAGATAGGAACCTGTCAGAAATTCAATATTCCAAAGGACCTAAGAGTCCTCAAGTCCTTTGGCCTGTGTTCCTACACAGGCAGGTCTATACCTAGTGCAGATGGTGACCTCTGGTTGAAGCTGGGGCGAGAGGTCTGGGGGACAGCAAGCTACCTGGCCACCATTTGTAAGACACTGTGCATCACACACATCATCATGTTTAATCCTTGCAATAGCATGATGAGGTGGGCCCTATCCCAAGTCTACAGAAGAACGCAGAGGTTAAGTTCTGGTCCAAGGCCCCTTTGGCCTCAGGGTTGGAGCTGGGTGTCTGACACACCTGCTGAATCTCGTCTCCTCACACCTGCCATAGGAGCTTTGCTCTAAGAACACACCCAACGTACACAGCGCCAGGCCAGCTCTGAGCACAGTGGGTCCCGCTGCAGAAATCTGACCATAAATGGCCCCTTTTCTACCCTCCTCTCTCCCAACGTCCCCAAGTGCCCCCCATGCACGACACACCTGGAATTCTCCTCCAAGCCTCCCCAGTTTACACTCCTTTCCCACACCCCCTCCCTTCCTATCTATTGTCTCTGAGCCCAATTTCCTGGTTCCTGAGCTTGTTCAGGAGATTTCTTTCCAATTCTTTAACTCTGAGTACAATAGTCTCCTTCCTGCTTATTGGTAAACAGAATCACAACAAGCCCAAGTGGGGCTTGTTCTAGGCCAGATTTGAGCTCGTCTCTCTTGCTTCAGACTCTTCCTAATGGGGCCATGAAATCCTGGAAAGGTGGCTTGGCCCAGCCCTGCCTTTCTGCTACCCCCCCTCGTTCTTGCACATTGCGATTTTGAGGGGCAGGTGGGTACAGAACCAAACTTACTGCCCCTTTCCTTCCAGGAAGTCCAAGATCTGCCCACTTGAAGCTCCTGCCTCGAATACTGGAAGAGGAGTGGGAAGGGGAAGTATTTGTTTGTTGCCACTGCCAAGCAAGTTCCCACCACTCCATTCCCAGGATGAGGTCTGGTGGGTGGGCGTGTGGGAGGTGTTTTCCAAGTAACTTCTATGGCAGCCTGCAAAGAAGCAGCAATAAACAAGGCAGGGACATCACTACCTGAGAAGCAAGAGCCCACTCTCCACCCCAAACAGAGAGGCAGCCATAGCTGGTATAGCCCAGGGGTTGATGCGGCTCTCCTAATCCTTGGCCAAGGAGATCCCCAGTCTCTCATAGCTCCCAAGTCTCAGTTTTCTGAGCAGGGCAGAGAAGGAACCAGAGTCTTCAAGGTCCCATCTACAAAAAGATTTAATAGAGCCAGATCCTGCCTCAACCTTAACCATCACTAGTGTCCTTCATTGACTCTCTGAACAACTCTTTATTAAGGGCTCAGCACCAGAGACAGCCTCATAATGAAAACTGACAAGGTCACTGTTCTCAGGGAGGGAGACAGGCAGAAACAGAGTAAATAAATAAACAGTAACAGATAAACAATGCAATTCAGACAGGGACAGACTAGAAGATAACAGAAGGAAGGTAAGGTGCCAGAGACTGGTTAGTGGAGTCTAGTGACATAGGTAGTCAAGGAAGGCCTCCTGGGGGTGGTGAGGGCCTAGGGGAGACCTCCCTGATGAGAAGGTGGTGGTCGGTGGTGGAGCACAACGTCAGGACACTTTCCAGGCTCTGAGCACATACAAGCACAGCAAGTCTGAGATGAGAAGAGGCCCCTACCTGAGCAGCCAGAGCACGCTATGAGGTGGGGTCAGAGAGGCAGCAGGGCCTTGTAGGATTTTACTGTAAGTGCAATGGATCCTTCTCTGAGGAACACAAGTGCCCTCACCCCCTTCTCTCCCTGTTAGTCATGCTAAAAACACAAGGCAGGAGGGAAAGGGAGCGGGATTCACAAGCTGGAGGGTGACAGTGACCAGAACAAGTATAACCTTTTAAGGAGGAAGGATCTGTTGCTTGGCTACCAGGCCAGGGTATGGTAATGGGTGGAACTGGGGAAAGGAAGTGGAGAAAGAGAGCGCCTAGGTGCTAGGGGTGGGGGTGGGGGAGCTCCGAGAGGGAGGGGGAGGAGGCAGCTTCCAGGAGGTATGGGACTTTCAGGAGAGAGGGGCAAAGGCCAATTTAAAGAAGTTTAGTTGGATTTAATAGCAGTCACCCTCTCAAGAAGCTTCGTTTGAGCTTCACCGTGTTTCAAAGCTTTTAGAGTCCGATGCTGCTTCCTCTTAAATGTGTCGTTAGCTTGAGATGCGCCTCTCAGTAGGAGCAGGGAGGCCTTGTTTTATCTGGACTTGGGGAGACGCAGAGGCTCCTGTTCTGACTGCTCTGGGGAGACAGGCATTTGGGAGGAAGGGGTCACTGCCCCTGGACCTGCCGTGTGGCCTCAGGAAAATCATTTCTCTTCGGTTTCCCTCCTCTGGCCAGGAGCAACTCCATGAGTCCACCTGTTCTTTTGTTTTCATACCAGAAAGGATACTCAGAAATGTGACAAGAGGGGGCTTAGAGACACAGCAAGTGTCTGCCAGATGCGCCCCCAGGAATGCGTGTAAATTCCCTGACCGCTGTGCAGACCACCCTGCTCCTCTTAGAGGTAAGGGAAGAAAATTACAGGGGACTATCCACTCGTCCCTCCAGTCCACCCCAAAGGAACTGCCCCTTCCTCAGGGACAAGGACTCCCAGAAACCTCTGTAGGCTGTGATCTTTCAGTGCTGGGACTGGGCAGGGTGCAGCCCGCACATAGGTAGAGACAGGCCAAGTGACCATGTACGTGCCTCCCCATGGAAGGAGTCTGTGGCCTCAGTGGGTGGAATAGCCCCATGGGAAGCTGCAGAGCCCCATCTTCTTCTGAGAGGCCCTGGGTAACTGTGGCCCTGAGAGCACACTGTGCCTCGTCACACTTGGCTCAGGGCACAGCAGAACCTCCACACCCTGCCTGGCCTTTCTGTCCCTCTCTCCTTCCCTGGAGCTTGGCTGCTGGAGCCTGTGGGCAGCTTTTTAAGCGCTGCCTGCTTTCTCATGCACAGTAAATGCTTCCCTGCAGAACCTGCTGAGCCTTTCCGCCACATTAGTAATCAGCAGAGAACAAGAGCCTTCTTTCCCTGCC